ATAAAATGCTGTTCAAGTTGACTAGAGGAACAACTGCCTAGAGCTGTTCAGACTAACCTCAAAGCAAAAGCAGGTGCTGACACCACAGTTCAACTAAAATCTGCCTCTACCTTCTACCTTAAAAACGGGAGTTATGCAGGAGAAAGACAGAATTAGAGAGGGAAAGAAGCAACTATTCTCTTCAGAAACACAGCAGGGTAACTGGAATGAATTTGAGAGTCAAGTCCAAGTGTCTTCCAAAGAGATGATCTGGTGAAGTGTCTGTACTCATGCTTCTTAACTTTCTACTGAAGTGGAAAGGAATACTAAATGCTAGCACAGAACTGTTGAAGAAACAACTTCACAGAAACAACTTCACAGAAACAATGTACCAGAGAAGCTCTATTAGGCTTTGCTGAGCAGCTTACTCTAGTCAGAACTGCTATCAAATATTTCCAGTAGAAAGAGCTGCATCTTCCCTGCAACATGATCAGGCCTGAAATCTCCAATCCAACTAGGACTTCCCAGAGGAAAAAGATTTTCACAGTGGATTAGAAATGCCTGATCTAGCTTATATTCTCTGAAGTGCCACACAGGGTGTGTTCCCTTGAAGCTCTTTATCCACACTCTGCTCCTCCTCATCTCTTTCCTTCTCTCAACTATTTTTCTTTAACTTTTTTTTTTCCTGTGCAAGTTTAGGAGAAAAACCTTGAAGCTATATGCACCAGGATATGAAGACACCAGGAGCATGGATGACCAATCACATAAAAATTATTCAAGTGAGCTTGCAATAATCATTATCCTACATAAAGATATTTAAAGCCCTTAAGGCATATAGCATGCAGACAGCTGGCAGCATCCATGTGACAGATGCCTCAAGTGAGTGCCTTTTGCTACCCATACTGCTGTGCAATAACAGATGGATTACTAGACAGTCACTTACAGACAAAAAAATCCCCAACCTTGCCCACACAAACAGCAGGTAAAACAGTCCAAAGCCCTTAAGTAAAAAATCATATTTGAAGTCAGAGACATTGTTGATGAGCAAGAAAGAGGCATTTTGCTTTATTAACAAGAACAAAGTTGTAATTCTCCTACTTCTATTAGTCCAAATATTCTGTCACTGCACCGGGAGTGAAAGAGCTATAGTTACTACACTCTAGAAATTCCCAAACATGCTCCTTCCCTCCAACAGCCTCATTAGACTTCTGGCAGGAAGAAATCATAGCTCCGAGGAGTAGGACAAGCTCAGTTCAGGACGAGCTCTGTTGTTTACAAAATACTTTCATGGCAACCCATAAATGCAATTGGTTGTAGAGGAATTGTCAAACAGCAGTTCTTTTCGTCTCATGCCACTGTCCTAAGGAAATCTGCCATGATACACCTCAAGACAACAAAGGACACAAGTGAGCACATTTGAAGTGACCTTCTCCCCCTGCCAGCAGAGCAGCTTTCTACACTGTAGAAGAGCCATTTTTCCTACTTGCTTTTTGTTGAAGAAATGAAAGCTTATCCTCAACAGAGCACCAGCAAGAGTTTTGGACATGTGTAGGCATCTCAACTTTGTCAAATATCACATCTGCTTCACCAACCACTTGCAGCTTGCATGCTGTTGCAGTTCTGAGTCTAAAGCAGTTCTAGAGACTGAGTCTAAAGCACTCTCTTTCTCCACCAAACAGAAAAAGAGCAGCTTATGTTTTGCTCTTTCACTTTTTTGTGTATGAGATGCCCAACTTTTCCTTCTCAATCCTAAAAGAAAACTTCAACCTGGTTGATGTTGCATGCACTGGAAAATGTTCACTGCCCATAGCTAACACTGACAGCCCTTTCTCCAACAGCAGTTTTTCCAATACCACCTATTTCCTGGCTATACTGGAGCACAGTTTCCCATGGGAAACTGTCATTTTGATGCTTCATGTTGGAGCTCCTCATCCTGCGCAAAGGCTGCCATCACTGCTACTTCTAGAAATCTGCTCCTTCTAGTCACACAGCTCTGGCTACAAGCATAGAATGACGGGATATTCTCCTTTCCCAACACAGAGATCCTCCCTTATGCTCTTCCTTCTCTTGAGAGATACCAAGAGACAGGAAAAAAGCAAAGAACAAAAGCTTTCAACACAGTTTGAGATTGCACCACTTCCAAGAAGTCTGCATTGGCTTTGATCTATTGATTTCAAGGCCCTTAATGTGGGAAGCTGAAATGCAAGTTTTCTCCAGACAATTTTAAAACAAAAAGAAAAAAAAGAAAAAAAAACCCAAACACCAAAACCAAAAAAATCCGCAAAACAATCAAACAACCAAAAAAAGTCAGATCTGTCTATAACCAAAATATGCACTCAAGAGTCTTGGTTGAAATCCAAAAATAAGCTATTATAAATAGCTATAAAGCTATTATTCAGCAGTGCAACATCAGAGACACTAGGGAACTAGAATGAATGGAAATTAATGTATAAAATTCCACAAGCACCGGTAGATGAGTTATTTATTATATCATACTGGAACGTCACCTCAGAGCTACCCCTGTGAATTCTCATTAAGTTATCCCACAGCTATCTCTAACAGTTTTGCTTACTTTCTCCCCTGAAGCTACTAACAAGAAGCAAAATGAGGGAAAGGAATGAAGTAACAAAGCATTTATTTCTGAGCAGCATTTTTAGATGAAAATAAGGATCCTTTTCTGTTTAGGATATTCCAAGAAGGTTCTCCCATCAACTGCAGTGCATCTTTCATATGTGAGGCTGCAATAAATCCAGTTTGATGTACATCTTTGAAGAGCACCCATAGCAAATGAACACCTGCAAATCTAACTGAGGACTGCTTCCCAGGAGAAAATAATCATTGAAAAATAAGCAAGGGAGGAGAAATTACTTTGCAGCTTCACCAGCTTTATTTTTAACACCCTCTGCTCCCTTTAAGCTGATCTCCTCACAGGACATATCTCACCCTCAGCTGTGCTGTGCCAATCTAAGAGGCTCTGGATACCAGGAACTGCAACACAACAGCTGCCTATGCTGGAGCCACCACACAACAGGCACCACCTCCGCTTTTAGCAGTGGCCATGTGCCTGGGCCATCCCGAGAGGACAGTGTAGCACTGCCTACAGCCCACACCACCAGCGGGAAGTAGTAGTACCTGCCCTGACAGAAAGTGCCCATCAGCCCAGCACCCTCAGCAGAGAATCAACATGGGCAGAGTGGCACTGATCTGAGGGAAGGAGAAAACAAGGCCCCAGCAAGACTGAAGATCTGCATGTTCATAATTAAAATGTTTAGAGGGTACTTTTGTTTCTCTTTAGAGGAGGCAAGCTGTTTCTAATAAAGGATCATTTGAGTCGCCTAAACTTTGTTGACTTACTGGCTTTTTCCATGTTATTCCAAAAATGAAGACCCCCTTGTTGAAGTAAAAATTGGTTTGGGGAGGGGCAGGATGTTAGGCTAAGCTTTTATATAATTTCTTTGAACTCAGGCAAGACTCACCTTTATGACTCGCTGATTATGACACCTCCTTTTCCTTGCCAGTATAATCTTTTCTGGAAAACAGTTTATTTTCTTCACTATCTTTAATTAATCCAAACACCACCAGAAGCCAAGATATCGTACATGCATGCTCCCAAATCAGGATCTTTCTTTTTCCAAACTACAACTTTAAAAAACAACTCAGAATCAGGAAAAGGACAAACAGAAAAAAAACCCAACACTTACATAGTTGTCATCTTTCTTTTTTCCTGTTTAGATTACATAGTTACATTTATGCTTCTGGACTGAAAAAAAATTCCGGAGTTGCTTTTGTTGCAACAATGTATGTGAATTAGCCCACTGAAATGCATCACAACGATCGCACAGAAACAAAGCCAAGGGATTCAGTGCTGAACGCACTGGAGCACTGGGCATCCCTGCCCACGCCAGTCTGACAGAGACAAGGCAGTCACTTCTGCCTCTTCTCATTCCTCCGTCCCTTTTCCCAAACCCAGTCAGAAAATGCTCACTGACAAATAGCAGACCTCCGCTAACACACCATGGCTCTTTTTAAACTGGAAAAAAACCCAGTTTGGAAAATACAAGAAAAGTTGTCATCAAAGGCATGCAGTTAATATTTAAATCAAAGAATTACAAAAAAAAGAACTGGGGGGAAAAGACTTCAGTGTTTTTCCTTTGACACTGAAACTTCCCTTCTCTGTCAGCAGACTTAGGAAAAATCTCTTATTTCAGAATTTTCTAGATTAATAAAGTAGACATTTTGACAAAAGCTTTTCAGTGTTTGCTGGAAGTGGAGTTGGAAGGGAGTGTCCAATATACCCATATCAGGTATAAAACATGCACCACTGATATTCAAGAAAGTAAATCATTATGAGTTCCATAATCTCCTCAAATATTTATAGGCAGATGAAGACTAAAGGGATAGGTTTGGATTTGGGACCTCTAAACTCCACTGGAGTCAAAATCTCCACTGTGATATGACAGCATAACATAACCCTGCGCGTTTCATGGAAAACAGTGCTTGAAAAGCACCACAAAGAAATTTTTAACCTCAGCCCCCTGTTCTCTGTAGCCATGCAAGCATTCTGCTCCCACGTGAAATCAGTTATTTATGGGCACTGGCCTCTGCTTACACAAAAGCAAGGCAGTGCTTCTCAAGTCAGAGCAACAGTTACAACTCTCTGTGCCAGTCTGTGACCTGATCCTGAACCACAAATTTCATTTGAGTTTCTTGGTCTTCTGGTTTTGGTGGAAAGGTCATTTGGAACTTTTTTCTGCCACTCTAGAAATGCAAAGTTCCAGAACTAGAAGACCACACTTTTCATCTTCAGTTCACAAATTCTCCTTCCAAGAGTCCCATTCCATGTAAAGGAATTCACATGACACAGTGCTATGAGGCGATATAAATACCCTATGTTAAATCCCTTGACCTGCACGTTTTGCTGAATGTATCAGAGCTAAAATAAATTTTGGGAACCCTTGTGTATTAATCTTTTTACAGATTTCAGTTCCTTGCTGTTGGTGAGAAAAACCTGAATCACAGCAATGTATTGTCTGAGGAATAGCAGGCAGGTAACAGTTTGTCTTTTAAATGATACTGCAATCCAGCCAGGAACTTCAATGCTCACGACTGCAACACTGTATGGAGATCTACCAACACCTATGGGAAAGAAAACAATAGGGAATGTATTTACAGTATCAGGATGAGAAATCCTGGGTTTTGTACGTTACATAGAGTATGTGCAGCCACTGGCCATATAGCTTGTAGATAACCAGAGGGCTGGGATTCCTCTGAAAACTGTGGAAAGGTCAGATGGAGGTAGGGAGAATTCGGATGCTGGAACAGCATAAGAAAAACACATCCTTTCGTGTTCTTCCTGAAACTCACTATGGGATCACAAATCACAGAAATCCCTGTCTTATTTCCATCACAGACCAGGGATTGTGAAGGAAAGTGCAATTAATGAAGAGCATTCTCTCTTACCTTACTCATCCATCTGTTCAAAGCAGAATTAAAAAACTGTTTCCTCTGCCTCCACCACACTTCACCTTAGCCTGTGAAGTGCTCTGTGAATCACTGACGATGATACCAGAGCTAAGGAGCCACAGCAGTATTATTTTTCAGAATCATGAAGCTTGTCAAAGTTGATTTCAACATGAAGCTGTCTTTGATACTAGGCATGAGCCCTCAGAACAGCAAAAACCAGCAAAATAGGGTTTCTCTTAAAATGGGCAAATGAAGCAGATTTTCTTCTTTCCTTACCAACCAAGAATTCACTAGATTATTTTAAGTCAATTTTAATATCAGATGCAAGCTCTATTGTTGTTAAACCCTATTGTTAAGCTAGACATTTTGCTAAGGTAAGGACTGCTAGCAATAATCATTATATACACATACAATTAAAAAACCCCAAACTAGTTAACAGTAGCAAGTTATATTAGAACTGTGCAATGACTATCCAGGTAAAGGATTCTTATAAACAACTAATACCACGAACAAAAAGCTTCTTAAGGACTTAGCATCTAAATTCTCAAGAATTAAGCCTAGATGTCATCTTCTCAAGATCTGAAAAGGAAGGGAAATAATTTAAATTCCTTATGGGTCAATTATAACAGTGCACAGTGAATTAAATAACAACAAAAAAAATTCACCAAGCCAAGGAAATCGGTCATATTTACAGATTTCTAAAATAAAACAGGTTTAGCAAAAATAGTTAGACTGGAAGTCAAACACATTTTACACTGCCTTGAGGAGTTTCTACAAAGGAAGCTCACCAGCATACCCTGAAGATGCCTGCCATAAGCCTTAAGAGTTTTGCTTTTGTATAGAGAAGGATCTTGCTTATATAAACAGGCTCTTCAGCACTACAATAATACAAGCAACCAATAAAGCGGCATTAAAAATAAAATTAAGTGATGTTCACTCACTCACTGTCAAGCAGTCATAGATGCACAGAATAACCAGGTTGGCAGGGACCTCAGAAGGCTCCTACTCCAACCTCCTGCTCCATGCAAGGGCAGCTCTTGGGTCTGACCAGGCCATTCCCAGCTTTGTCCAGACAGGAATGAAATGTTCCAGGGATGGTGTTCTCCTAGCCTTTCTGGGCAACCTGTACCAATGTTCAAGTGGCCTTGTAGTGAAGAAATTTTTCCTTCTGCCAAGCCATAACCTTTCCTATTTTAGTTTATGACAACCATCTCACTCTACTGCCACATACCTCTGTGAAGTGCCTTGCTCTGTCTTCTCAAAAACCTGCCCACAGGTATACTGGGGGGCTGCTGCCATGTCCCCACAAATCCACCTCTCCTGAAGAAGCCCAGTTCCATCACCCTCTCTCTCACAGCAAGTCCTCCAGCCCCATCCAGCCTGGGGACTCTCTGCTCAGTTTCCTCCAGCTTACCAATGTCCCCCCCACGCTCTGGGCCCCAAAACTGAATGCAGTATTCCAGGTGTGACATAGCAAGTGCCAAGCAGAAGCAAACAACCACTTCCATCACTACCTGCTCCAGAAAATCACCAAGGGGTAACCTCTCCTGCTGCCGGGACACCACAGCCTGTTGTTCCACAGGTTCCCATGGTCCTTTCCAGCAGAGCTGCTGCCCCAGTAGTCACTCCCACCCTGTCCCAGTACAGGGAGTACATTTATGCTGTTTCTAAAATAAAGGCAGTAATAGGCATGGATTTCTTCATTTTAAGCTGGGGCATGTCACTGTTCCTCACATTCTGACAAGGCTGTTTCAAGGACACAGGCCCAAGACAGCGATTAACATATCTGGGAGAAGTTTCAGTTATCAATTTTGATGTCATGGTACTAGCGCCATGGTAGCTGTTGCACTCATTGTGATCTGAGGGACTGAGCAAGGCAAGAGAAGACAGTACTTTCTTCTTTAAATGATATCCTGGAAGGAGAAGGAGGGAAAGCTTAGATCTTCACGGTCTGCATGCAAAATGTTCATACCTTCCCCCATGCAGCTGCCCTTTTAAGTGACATTTTCACCCCTATAAATGGCTTTTTCCGAAATATCATTAAAAAAATGTTCTTGTTAGAAAGTTTGCAGAGAACCAATGCACAGAAGTTTACATCCATGGACGAAAAGCTTCTAGGCTGGTAGATTTTCCAAACAAAAGATAATGCAGTTTTTATAACCTGTCATTAAACACCACTTCCCAGATCAGCCAACACATTTTAGAAGCTAGAAAACAATTCTGCTGTATCAACCTACTATTTATTCTCCAGATTCCACCTTCCTTTCTAGAAGATCAATGCTTGCCTTAAAAAAAAATAATTAAAAAATGTAGTTGACACTAGCAGAACAAATGTAATGAGGTTATATACCTACGCTACCTGACCTCCACCATCAATTGCATAGTGGCATCACAGACTGGTCTTAAGGACAAATATTTCTCCTATTTTAAAACTTTGGTACTGAAAATAGAAATTAATTCAGTTTTAAGACAATTAAGAGCTCAGTCCTGCTGAGCATTTCCTGACATTATCCCTTTATCAATAGTATTGTTGTTCTGATTATTCTTACTCCAGTGCCAAGCACTACTTGTAACGTGGCTTAAACGGATCTCATGATAAGGGAACTGGGTTCATGTATACAGGACAGAAGGCTGGCTGACAGGGAAGTGGGAGCAGAAAAAATTTCCCTGACCTCCTCCCAAACAGGGTCAGAGAGTTTAGGTGAGTCCTTCCACCTCCTCTAAATCTATTTAGTTTTTCATTCCACTGAAATTACTAACTTAGCTAGAATGAAGAGCATCCCATCTGTCCTGCCTGCAGCCTCTAAACGCTGCCCAGGAGGAGATGTAGAGATAGCAGTGAAGAATTCCTGTCCAAGTCCAATCACTATAAGCACAGTAAAGTTATTTTTATATTCACATCCATCTAGGACCAGGCACCATCCACACACATTTTGACTCTTCATGGTGGCCTTACAGACACTGCAGGAAGGATTCATGTGACCTATACTTCAGCTTGTCCACAAAGCAGGAAACTTGTCTAACCCTTCTGCATAGGTTTCTTCTAGTCTGACAATACACTGGCTCACTTTAATAAATTCATTCCCAATACATTATGTAGAGTATATAGGTAAGACACTTTTCCAGCAGTAGAAGAAGAACAAAAGAAGAAAAGAAAGGCTAAATGTTGAGAAATTTTAACTGCAGACACTGGTTGGAGACTCATTCAACAGCTTTTCTACAATACTTGGTCAATAAAACCATGGAGTCTTTAGAGCTTGGTGCAACATTCTACACTTAAATAGTTGTATTCAAATACACTCATAAGGCAGTCAAAACTGAATTCTCTGGAAACACTTGTTGGATATTTGTTGGATTTGATCCATTCCTATCCAAATAACAGCAAGACTGCAGTGGCTCCTAAATGTCCCAACTTGGCTAGAGGCACCATTGTTCTAAGTACTGTATTAATGTTCAAAGGAACTGGAGCCCCTATTCAAGGATCTTAAAATCAGCTTCACAGCAAAGGAAGAGTAGTTGTCTACACATATTTGAAAATAGAAACACTCCTGCGGGACACAGGTCACTCACATACTCAGTGAATCAGTTAACTTACCCAATATTTTTCATCAAAAGAACTTTATCACTGATGTTCCTCAAATGTCATACCACATTCTGAAGGTCATATAAACAAACTTGTGCATTACTCAAGTTCCAGGCCCCCACTGCAAATACTCCAAACAAGTTCTTCACCACTTAGGAAAGAGTTTGTCAATGAACTACCTTCAACTGCCTTTAAATTACATTTTTGCAGTGGGAGCCTCAGCTCTCCAGCACTTTACCCACACCAAAGATAGACACTCTATAAAAACCTTGTTTCCAGACTCCTGGCACAAGACAGTCACATGACATTTATTTGCCTGAGTCAATTTCTGGGATTTGTGCCCCTCATACACTTCCATAGAGAAGGCAGAGCAGAAGTGGCGTGCATATTCTGCTGTATGATTTGACGCATCCAGAAACACTAAGGAATGCACATGGCTCCGTGGCTTCTCCTGGAAGCAGCAGCACTGTTACCAACTTAAAATTGCCACCTTCAACACAGAAATCTAACACAGGTGTTTTGCTAGAAGGAAAAAAGAAGATAACCCACAAACACCCAACAAGCCTCCCCTGCTGGTAAATTTCTCTCTAGCAAGAGAATTCTCAAAGGGAATATATACAGGAAAAAAGGAGTATACTTATTAGAAGTTGATGGGGTTTAGCCTACACACATCTAGAGGGAACAGCAAAGTCAAATGCTGGTCATTCGGGACAGAAAAACATGACCTGTTTATTATTACCATACAACGATAAAGGACACATTCTTATCAGCTGGCAAAGTTTCTAAGGAATATAAGTCTTTGGAAAAGCCATCCCTAATTGAACCAAGTCTCGGCAATGAGGAGAAAGCATATTAATGAGGCAAGGCTAGGAGGTGCGATGAGGAGATAACAATACCCTTAGGAATTACACTGGCATTAAATGCAACTTTATTACTGTATTACTCTCCTATGAATCTTTATGGCAAGAATAACTCTGTTTATACAGATGTTCTTTCGACCATCAGTTATTCTAGTTTAAACACACATAAGGGGAACCCTTAACATTTTAAGATTACAGGCCATTAGATTAAATTAGATTTGTTATTTTTCCGTAACCTTCTAGGCTTTACAAGGCTGATATACTATTTCAGTGAAACTGAGATGCTTTAATTGAAATGAGATACCACACCTTTAATAATGCAGACTGATGTAGCTCTCTCACAGGGTTTTTCATTCAGTGCCTTTATTTTAATTCCTCTGTGTGCCACTAACATGGGGTATTTTATCACTAAGAGGGTATTCTTCATTTAAGTAGCACATGCCAAGGTAAACTAAAATGATAGGACTGGTTTACTGTTACACAGTGCGATGCACAGTTGATATTTATGCAAAATTAAGCAAGCCCAAACGCTGGTTTCCTATCTGAAGTAGACTCATGATCAAAGCTGAAAGACCACAGAATTCCAAAATCCCATCTGCTGCAACATACAGAGGAGACCAAATCTATCACCACTTAAAATACTCTCTTGCAAAACTCAGATTGTTAAATATATAAACAGCCTTGGCAGTAAGAGAGCTCTGGCCTTTTTTCTTGCTCAGGCACACCTCAGTGCTACTGGGTCAGAGCTCCAGGGAGACGCAAGATTATTACAAGGATCCACCCAAACTTCACTGCAACTTAGACTACCCTACCCTGTAGCAGCCAGATTAAAGTAATGCTGGCAGAGGAAAAAGAAGGCTTCTGGCACCCAGAAGACAAGCTCTGGTGAAAGGTCACAAACCCAAGGAGTAAACACAAGACCCCTAAGACCTCTGGACCAGAGGAAGGGAAGTACCTTGATCCTTGCAGATCTAAACATTCATTACTTCATGTTTTGGCTCTCTATCTGTAAAAAGAGGACAGCCTCCCTTTCCAGCCCCACCAGAGGAGAATTGTACTACAGACCGCAGGGTAGATTCCTGTCAGCCCTACACAATGGTGACAGCACTCATGCAAGGATTTAAACCAGATGAGAATTCAACAAGCAAGTCACACAACTTAATTGTCAAAAATAAAAATGCACAGCAAGCTCAGAGTTTTCAATCTGTCTATTTCTACTTCAATTTCCTTGTATGGCATTATTTTACAGCTTAAGACAGGTTTTAAGCTGTCTCACCCTGTTAACATCCTCACTAGCTTGTCTTCTGCCTACTGTGGGTCCACCAGCACTGCTTGCAACCATAAGGATTTATTTTCATTTGAGAGAGATATCATTTTAAATGGTCAGAAGGAAGCTGGAAGACACAACACACTGGACATTTGTTAACATCTCTAGGCCAAAGAATAAATTGGTGAGAGACAAGTACAGAGCCAGCTGAAGCAGATGGATCTAGTAGCCAGACACAACATGACCCCCATTTCTGCTTTCACCCAAATCAATAGGGCTTGGCACACTGAATGTTGATACCTGTATCATTCCTCAATTTTTTATTTAATTTCTTTTTAAGATTGAGGATGCTTTTCAATAATTTTGCACTAACATGTCAAGCATAACTCACCCAGTCCAAATCATCTAGATTTAGAACAGTGAATACTGATCAGATTTTCAGAAGAGATAATAACCCTCATGCTCCAGAGCTTAAGTCAAACCAGGATTAAAAGGAAATATAATATGTTAGGCAAATTAAGCCACATTTGCTTCACTGGCAGCTTCTTCCTCCTTTCTCATCATAGGAGCATCAACTCTGGGCATTGCTGGAAAGGCAGATGCTTCCCTCTTGCACCACAGTCACGGTCACGCTCCAGGCTCCCTATACGCAAGGTAATAGTGGCAACATTAACAGTACATTACAGCTTTGTCATCCATGTATCAAGCAGGTTTAAAAAGGGGAGGAAGCACAAGAAGTTATAGACAACTTCCTCTGTACACATGGATCCCTTGTGCCTGCATGGAGGACACAAGGACACAAGAAGTTAAAGAGCCCTTCTGCTCTGTTCACCAGGTCCTGGGTAGCACAAGATACAGGCATGAGACATCATGTCACAGTGAACTGTGGACTAAACTGCCCAAGAGAAAAATTTCTGCCTGACCCACAAGTTTCTGCTCTATACAGAAAGATTTATAGTCCTTTAATTATAATCGTGCCTGAAGTGACCAGTCACAGCTTCATTACCCACAGAGAACTGCTTCACCATTGAGTTCTTGGCTTCATTAGCAGTCAGCAGAACTCATGGTCACAAAACATTTTTATACCATACGTACGATGGAGTCACATGCATCTCCCTTGATCCGCTATCATAAAGAACACTACACAGAAAATGTGGTATTCATCTTCCCGAGACAAATGGTGTTTATGTGCACTGCACTTTTCCTCTTCCAGGCTGCATACTCACCTTTCCTTGGCACAAAAGCCCTTCTTTTCACATTCCTTGTTGTTCCTTTGCCTCCAGTCCTACACCAGCCAGATTACTGTGTCCGGGCCAATTCCCTGAAGTCTGACACAGCATTACCTTTCTGGCTGATATTGGAGTAAACCATCACAGTCTGAAATTCACACAGCTTCAGGGAATCTTAAAATCACAATCATTTTAACAACCATTTGCCTCACCACTGTCAGGAACCAGAATCCACTGAAGCTTTCTAAAAGCTGCAGATTAAATTCAAAGCCTACAACTGAAGGGAGCGGCTATGCTGTTATCTGGGTTTATGCCACCTTCATGCGTGTTCTGTACTGTTAATCAGACTGAGAGCTATTTAAAGTGTCTCTATTGTCACATGCCAAAATATTTAACTATTAAATTTCACCCACCACCTGCCCGTTTTTGCGTTTTACGGCAGGAGCAAACAGCAGGCACATCTATTTTTCCGCCCTGCCTGAAGAGCGAGACCAAATCTCTCTCTTTGGCTCGTCTGAGGGACGGGAGCAGGGCCGCAGGGCTGTCCCCGGCCCCGCAGCGGTGTCGGCCCGCCCTCCGCGCACTGCGGAGCGGTACCTGCGCGGCCGCCGCCGCCACCCGCGGGCGCGGGGAGCCGGCGGGACGCTTCCCGGCAGGACTGGGGGGACCCTTGGGGGTCGGGGAAGCGCCCGCTCCGCACCTCCACGCACCTGCCCAGCTCCTGTTTACAGCCGCCCGTTCATCCCAACGCCGGGGCCAGGGAGGGGAAATGCGATTAACAGATTAAGTTTGGAAGAGACGGGAGGGGGGCAGGGGCCCGGGCCCATCCAAAGGCGCGCACCGTGCGCGGGGGCTTAAACACCTCGGTGAGCCCCGGCTGCTTTCCCCGCAGCGAGGAAAGCTGGAGAGAGCTGTAGGGAGGCCAGGAAGGAGCTCGGCGCAGGATAAAATGCCTACAGTCCCCGCGACCCGGGTTGGGGGGGAGGGAAGGACACCGGGTCGTCTCGCGGGGTGTCCCCGATGGGGACAGGCGCCCTCATGCCTGCCATCCCGCGGGCTTACCTCGATCCACTTCTGAGCCTCGGTGAAGGCCAGCTCAGGCTGGGGGGGCTCGGGAGGAGGCTGAACCTCTCCCAGCTCCAGCCCAGGACTGGCCATCTGCAGGGCCCCGGCGCGCCGCGGCTGCGGCGTGGGAGAAGCCAAGCACCGAGCCGCCGGCCCGGGGTGAGCCGCGGCCGCAGCTGGGGGACGCCGGAGGCCGCTGCCTGCCTCTCCCTGCCTCTCCTTGCCTCTCCCTGCCTCGCAGCCGCCGGGGCGGGAGCCGGGGGCGGCGGCGCTTCGCAGCCCGACTGGCTGCCGCTCGCCTGCGGTAACCTCTCTCCGCCGGTGCCCCGTCCGCCCGCCCGCCCTGCCGGCTCGGTCCTCCCTCGCCTGCCGCCCCGCCCGCCCCGCCGGCGGAGCGGAGCTGCGCTGCGCTGCCCTGAGCTGCCAGCTAAAAATAAAACACACGGGCGAAGCCGCTTTGCCTTCAGCCCATGCAAATACCCGCGCCGCCGCCTCCCCGCTGCGAGCATCGCATCGCGGGCGGCGCTGCGGACCGGGGGAGCGGGGGGGCAGGCGGGGAGTCGGGCATCCCGGGTGGGGGACAGGGACCGTGATGGCAAGGCATTCCCTGCTCGGGGAGGAGGCTCCTGGGGCGGGGGGGACGACCCGGTGGCAAGTCTCCCACCTGCAGCCCACGGAGGGCACCGAGCCGCACGCGTCGAATCGCTGTTTGCGGCTGCTGCCTTAAACACCTCATTAATCGGTGTTGCTGCACGGAGCACCCAAGAATCTCCAGTCCCTGCGGTGGGAAAGGGCGCTGTTCCTCAGCCAACGCTGAACCACCTGCTTGGGGGCCGAGGGCTTCTGCCCCAGGAGTGAAGCACGGCAGGTGCCTCTCACGGCACTGCGGACATCAGCCTGGGCTTGTAAAAACGTGTGAGGTTCGGCACAGAGCAGAACGGCGTTAGTTTTCCTTCAAAAGTGGAGCAGGCATCAAGGTGTGCTTAAAAAAATATACCAAGGGTGAATACCCTCTTATTTTTCTCTATATGCAGAGGACAAAATCCAACTCTGTCCTGCAGAGACTTACGAGCCTAACTTATATGGTGTGAATAGTCCTAGCTCAAACAGATGCTATGGTTAACCATAGAAGTTTCTAGAAGCGGAAGGAGTTTTTTTTCACCAGGCCTTTTAAAAGCCAAATCCTAAAAATCTCCACTCATAAGTGTTGCAAAGATGAGCCAAAGTTACTTGTTTATATTTATGCAAGCACAGAAAGGTGTCTGTGTGCTGGAAATGCAGGTGTGCGAACATTAATCTCCTACTACTAAGGTCTTTTTGAAAGGGGTCGTAACTGGCTGCTTTTTCAGTTGTCAACAAATTTTGATGAGAAGCAAACTGTAGGATCTACTTTTCAACATGCCCTTAATTTAGGCCTCAGTTGGGATTTTGAATTTTGTTTATTGTTATAGTCAAGAAAAAAATACCAACGCTTCAAATATGCATGAAAGTGCATATATTTATTTCTCTATTTCCTAGGAGTCTGTATCCTAGGAATTTGTCTTTATTGTTCTCTACCTTTTGTTTTGGTCTTTGTTTATTGTTTCAAATTTGCGGGAGTAACAAAGGGCCTAAAAACAGGTTTATAGGAATTTTTCTGAGAACTGCAACAAGACAAAAACTAGATGAATTGTAGTCTAATCTCAAACATTTAAAGATAAATAAGTGTAGTTTGAAATACTTATGCTAACACGAGCTATTTTCTGATTCTTGTAATATTTAAATAACTTTGATGTTTATCAGACAACAATTACATTTATTCTCCTGGGGCAGTGGAAGACTAACAATTTAAAATAATCATCCTATCTATTTTTTTATTACTGTGCAAAATCAAATGTATGATTTTGCTGTCTGGTGATCTCAACATCGTCTCTCAGAGAACTAGAAGAGCTGGATTGGGCTGGGGTAAGCATCATATTGCACAAAGCAGCTGTTCAAAAAAAAGACCACCACCCCAGACCTCGTCTTAAAGTGAAAGGTGGACATTCATTTCACATTTATGCAGTAATTTTTCATAGATCACTAAAGAAAGTGTGCTCTTATGGACACTCCTATTCACACACATATTCAAGCATACACAACTTTTTAAATTTAATAAATCCTCATAGAGACACATGGATATAGAGTTAGTGCAGTCTTTAAAGAGCCCTGTCACGCATTTAGGAGTTCAAAAGACACCCTGAATGGCAGCAGGAATCTGGCCACTTGTTTCCTAATCCTAATCCTGAACCAGCTTCCCATTTGGTCAAGTGCAAGGCAGCATCCCTACCTCCCTGTTCCCATGGAAACACACTTCTAGCATCAGCCCAGCTTGCTTTTTTTCTTAAACCACCATCTGCCTGGGGAGTTTCAGGGCTTGCTCTAAGTCCCTTGAATAGCAGTCATAGGTTTTTCAATGGTTTTACTTTTCCTATTACAACCACCCTGGCAACTGGTACAGGAGACAAAATATGAAAACTAGCATGTTAGAAACTCCAGCAAGGTTTTGCCAAGGTCGCTCTGTTGCTCCCGACCAGAAAAATTACTAGAAACTTAGTGATGGAATTTGTAGCAGCAACAAAATAGGAGATTTTTTTCTTGTAGCTCTCTGCAAAACTCTCTTGTTTTAAAACAAATGCTTCAGTTTAGCTTCTATACTTTTCTTTCCAGTAAAACTCAAGCTAGAGTGTCAGCAATCCTTATCAACATACTTGCATCTGTTACCTATGGAGGTGCAGGTATCAGTGTCCAGGTGCAGGCAGCCTTCCCAAAAGCAGACTGTGCCTATGTAAAATAAACTAACTGTGGAAAAATGCGTAATATAGTGGTTATAGGAGAAGGCAGAAGGAGAGAAAGAGGATCTTCTCTGGTTGTCAGGGATATCTCTGCTATTATACACAAAAGGAAAAATAGAGGCTTTTAGGAAGATACAGTTTTAGGTAGGGGGTTGGTTCAATCTATATTAATCGGTTTCATCTTCTACCCAGTTTAGTTTTCTCTGCTGGGAAGAGGAACTCTCCCATTCCTTTTTGTCTTCAACTTAACATTTAAAATCTTAAAGCCTCTTGAGTAGCAGGAGCAGAGGTTTAATAAGGCCTGACTGCTGTTATGGCAGGCCTGATCTTATTCCATGGCAGAAATGAACAGCTTGCATCAAGGAAGCTGTGTCCTGGACAGTTTCTGCCACTATGATCTATCTCCTTGAATGAACAGGTCTGGTGTTCAAGACAAGTTCTCAGCAAAACTGCTCCTAGATGACATCTTTGTGCTCTCACTACTTTTTCTGGTTCTATTAGCCTGACAATAAACCTTTTTCTTCAAAGCCAATTTGACACAAATGCATTCTCCATTTGAAAAAAATTACTTTTACCAAAAAGCATGGCACAGGGAGCCAATGGGTGAAACACCCAAGGATCCCCTATTTCTATTCTATTTTACCTTGCTTATTAATCTTTTCTTTTTGAGCTTTTATAAATGTGCCTTAAACCAGCAAAGCCTCTGGGGTGGTTAAGAAGGGAAGTTATCCTGCTGGCACCAGGGCTTTTCTGTCTCCTTATCTCCTTCACAATCTGCCAGTTCTGGCTGAAATTCTCTGAGCAGTGCTTCTTTTTTCCCCAGACCATAATGGTCATACTTTGGGATGTTGCACAGTCCTGGGCCAGTTCTTGTAGAAATCTGAGCTGAGCCATAAGCGGACTGTTTTGGCTAAATATCTTCTTTCTTGTTTGTTCAAGGATTTTTATACATTTCTTTGCTTTGCTTGTCTTTTTTGTACATTTAACAAACCACTGAATGTCACACTGAGAACTTGAGGCTGTGTGGTACTTACTGTAAAAATTCTGCTTGGAATTCCTTCATTTTCTAAAGCATAAGGTAGGGATAGGCACATCCAGCACAGCTTCATATAACTTCCAGATTATTTCAGAGTTGCAGCATCTGAGCTGCCATGGAACTCACACTGTTGCAAAGAGCAGTGTGACTACCTGGGGATGCTGTGGGAGGTGGACAGCTCTGGTATAAAGACATTGGTATTAATACTTTTCAACAGGTATTAATCCTGCTGGAGAGTATTTGGAGGTTTTTTTACTGACTACCAAAGGCAGGCTGCGCACTTTCACAGCCTCTCATGGTGAAAGAGTGAGCTGAGAGGTGAGCTGAGAGAGCAGATGGGAAGAGCCCTGACAGCAGCCTTTATCAAGGCGGAGGAGACTGTTACCTAGAGTTTAGCATTTTCTTCCTTGATAAAACTAGACTCAAAGACAGTTCAACTCTCAATGACATGCAGCCATGCAGAAGGCTGGTAAAGATATCCACTTTGAAGCAAAATGTAAAAAATCCATATTTTGAAAAATGACTCTTTAAATGCGCTTTAGTATTTTTAATTCTCATGAAAAATCAATGAATCTGTGACCAGGAGAGCATGTTGATTTTTTTCAATCACTCAGACAAATGTTGTGACTTCACATTTTATTTAATCAGGGCATCTGCTGTGTGCATTTGCAGTGTTCAGCATTTGGCTGACAGCACCTGTTTGTTTATCCCAGCCATGCTGTCTTCTGTCATAGTCACTTTCTTTCTGGTACCACTCATTCAGCAACATATTGTCAGGCTTGGCATTGATGTTCTGTGTTGTTCTGGGAATTACAGGAGTAGATGGAGCATTTGAATTTGCTCTTTCCTGGGAGGAAAGCAGTATTATCCTTTCTCATCCTGTTGTGGAAGAATGTGAAGCTCTTTTGCAAAGCAGTTTTCGTCTGTTTGGGGTTTTTGTACTAATTTTTAAAAGCTAGTACAGCCAATTGTCATCTAGTAGCTGAGTACCATTTGACACTTTCCTGTTTTCCTGTATTTGCGTTTGATTAAATTTTTAGACTTTAAAAGCTGTTGACTATCCAGGATTGGATATGCCACTACACATGTGCCTATTTAATGAACTATAACCCTAATGAATCAGAATGATTCAAAATGAGAGCTCATGATGCATAAATGCATGTAAATATTCAGTGTCACAGGCATCATTTTGGGGGGTTTCACCATCCTCTCTGTTCCCGACGTAACAAATCCCTGATCAATATCTCTTCATTTTAAGTGCTACTATGCCCTTAGTTGTGAGGTTTTCCTGCCTGGCCTTCCTTTCTGGTTTGAAACTTCCTTCTGCCTCTCTTGGAGGCTTCCAGATCCCTGGCTGATAGCTCTGCTAATTGCTCAGAGCCTGGATCAGCTTCTCCTTTAATCTGCAG